GTTGCTACTCTAAGGTGTATCGTACAAGGATGTACCGTATCGTTGCTGAGATCTGGATGATGTCTTTCACTCCGCCCATGTCTCTCTCTCTCTTTTCTCTTCTGCTCTCTCTCTCTTCTCTCTCTTCTCTCTCTCTTCTCTCTCTCTCTTCTCTCTCTCTCTTCTCTCTCTTTCTCTCTCTCTCTCTCTCTCTCTCTCTCTCTCTCTCTCTCTCTCTCTCTCTGTATTTAGTGCTATTAGTGTTCTCCTTCAGATAGTTTATGTGTTGTTATGTCATTTTCTCCTAAGTTTGTTAGCGAACTAGAACGATGGGCTCTACTTCGATAATATATAAATGTGTGTGTGTGTGCATGTGTATGTGTGTGCGTGCGTGAAAGAGAGAGAGAGAGAGAGAGAGAGTGGGTGTGTGCGTGTGTGCGTGTGTGTGTGTGTTTGTGTTTGTGGAAAACTTTGTGTCTGTCTCTGCGTCTTATACTTTATTGGCCATGTGTGTCCAAGATTTTCTCAAAACTTTTTTCCATTTTATGAAGCAAAATATTTAATCAAAGTTTGTTTTATTTTTTTCATGTCTCCACCACTCTTTCTCCCGCAGTGTGAGCGTGGAGGACCATGGCTCAGTGACGCGTGCCGGGCCACACCGGAGCGAGGAAGGAAGAAGGAAGGAAGGAAGGAAAGTAGGCTAAGAGAAGGAAAGAAGGAAGTGGGAAGTCTTCAGCAGGAAAGAAGAGGAGGAGCTAGTGCGTGTGTTTTTTTCGGCGCTGTTTGCTACCTCTTCCTCTTCCTCCTCCTCTTCTTCTATCTCCCTCTCCCCTCCTTCGCCGTGGAGTGGGAAGGTGATTCACTAGAGTGCCGTGTGCCGTGATTTTTGTTTTTATTTCCGAGCTTTTTCGTTCGGGAAAAGGAAACCAGTGCTTGATGGGAGATCGATGTGTCGATATTAATTTTATTTGTGATTAGGAAAAAAAAGGAAAAAGTTAAGAAAATAAGGAGTGAGGAAGTGTGACCGTGTTGTTTAGAGTGTTTGGAGATAGAAAAGCACAGAGAATAGTGAGAGGAAAGAAATAGCAAGTGAAGAAGAGAAGAGGAAAGAAAAAGAAAAGATAATAATAATAATAGAACCAAAAGAGTAAGGGTAGGGGAACTTCTTGCACCTGCGAAAGGGAGAGAGAGAGAGAGAGAAAGAGAGGCGAGGAGAGAAGAAATCCTCTTTTTCCCTCCGTCTGCTTACCCCCCTTTCCCCCCCCCTCGTCGGCACCATGACTGCGAACTTCGACCCCCACGACCGAGCCAGGTGAGTCCAAGCAAGCAAAGACAAACACATTTGCTTTGCACTTGTCTTTTTTTTTCTTCCTTTTTCTCTTTGTGGTGGATGTGTGTTGTATGGTGTTTTTTTTCCTTTTTTTTCCTTCTTTTTCTATCTTTTTTTTTTTTGTTTTTTTGTTTGTTTTTGTGTGTGTGTCAGCGCCTTTTTTGCATGTGTTTGCTTGTCGGTGTCTCGTTGTTTTTCAAAGGAGCAAGAAAAGGGGTCACCCAGACGGACTTCTGTCGAATGTCTTGATGATGGAATTTCCTGGCATCTCTCCATATTTAAATGCCGAAGGAGCTGGGGGTGGAGGAGGAAGAGTGGGAGGTGGAGGTGATGGGAAATGGGGCTGGGAAGCTCTCTCTCTCTTTCTTTTTTTTTCTTTCTTTTTCTTTCTTTCTCTCCTCCCCCTTCCCTCCCTCCATCATGCCCTCCCCCATACCGCTATTTCTCTCTCCTCCTTCCTTCCTTCCCCTCTCTCGTTTTCCTTTCCTTCCCTTTCTCTTCCCTCTCTTCCCTCTCCCGCCCCAGCGAGCAATTTTCCCACGGCTGCCTGCGATAAGGATTCTTGGTAGTGCGGTCTAGACGAGAGCGGACCGTATAGGGAGATGGGGGGAGGAGGAGGGGGAGAGAGGAATGGGTTGTCCTTTCTCCTTTTTCTTTTCTTTCTAGTTCTCTTTCTCTTTCTATTTTTTTTTTTTTTATCTGCTGGTGATGTCCTCGGCCTCTTCTTCTGTCTCGTCTTATCCTTCTTTCTCCTCGCCCTCCCCAGTTTCCTTTTTTTTCCCTAGACCTCCTCCCCCTCCCTCTTCCGCTGGGTTCCCGTGATATTTGTGTGTGTGTGCGTGTGTGTGTGTGTGTGTGTGTGTGTGTGTGTGTGTGTGTGTGTGTGTGTGTGTGTGTGTGTGGTGTGTGTGTGTGTGTGTGTGTGTGTGTGTGTGTGTGTGTGTGTTGTGTGTGAGAGAGAGAGAGAGAGAGAGAGAGAGAGAGAGGAGAGAGAGAGAGAGAGAGAGAGAGGAGAGAGAGAGAGAGAGAGAGAGAGAGAGAGAGAGAGGACCAGTGCGTGAGTTTGGAGTGTTGTGTGTTGCCTTGCTCTTCCTTGCATTCTTTCCTTTCCGGATATTTTTTTTTCTTTTCTCGGTCTCCTCTCGCACTAGGCAGGAAAAGCAACTAAGGCGTTTGTAGTTGCAAGGCGGGTTCTTCGCCTTTTCCGATTTTGTTAAAGGGTTATCATTTTGTGTGTACGTAATGAGTACCATACACACGCATACGCACGCACGCACACACACACACACACACACACACACACACACACACACACACACACACACACACACACACACACACACACACACACACACACACACACACACCACACACACACACACACTCTCTCTCTCTCTCTCCTCTCTCTCTCTCTCTCTCTCTCTCTCTCTCTCTCTCTCTCTCTCTCTCTCTCTCTCTCTCTCTCTCTCTCTCTCTCTCTCTCTCTCTCTCTGGCTCCTGGCGCTTTATGGGCCTTCGGGCGGCAGGACTTATTACCCCGCCTGCCGTCGCCCTGGCTTTGTAGCTCTCCTGGGGCGGGGGTGGCTCAGGTCCTCAGAAGGCCGCTCGGAGGAGTGTGACGTCCGTCGGGGCGAGATGAAGGATGGGAGGCGTGGTCCCGCCAAGGAAGGAGAACCTGGTGAGTTGACAGGTGACCCGCTTGGCGAGTGTCTGCGGTGCGGAGGGAATTTGGGTTTGTTTACGATCCGCAGGTGGCACGGCGGAGGGCTGTAGGGAGGGAGGAGGGGGCCTTTGCTAATCTCACGGGGCGAGCCAAGCTGGTCATTTAAGGTCCACTGGGGTTACACAATGCATTATGGGGGGCCTCCGTAATTGGATGGGCAGGGTTCGGACGGGGGGGGGGGGCTGGGAGGCCAGTAACGGAGGGTTTTTGATGTGCTTGCGGATTTACAGGTAGCCTATGTAGACTAGGTGCAGTAACGAGGTGCAGCTTGGTGTTCTCGAGGTGAATGAAGTCCCAAAGCTACCAAGGGGCTTCACGTCCTCCGTGTGAGTGTGTGTGAGCGTGCGTGTGTGTGTGTGTGTGTGTGTGCGGTGTGTGTGTGTGTGTGTGTGTGTGTGTGTGTGTGTGTGTACTGTGTTTGTGTTACTATGTGTGTGTGTACTATGTGTGTATCTTAGACAGACAGGCACAGTGATGAACTTGTGCATTTGTGGGAAGAGAGTCATGGAGGGAGGGAGTCTGTGGTGTAGGATGGCAGAATTGTTAAGTGGGGTATTGAGACGTAATAACTCCGCGGTGTGCGTACGTCTGAGGGAGAGAGAGAGGGCGAGGGAGAGGGAAGGAGAACAAGTTGAGACAAAACAAAAGGAAGCCGAAAGAAGGAGAGAAGGTGTGTGAAAGTTATCAAAGAGACAGCCAGCGTCGTGCATAACCGCCTGTGGGCATGCAGTAGCTACGAGGCCGAAGGAGACGTGGCAGGAACGAGTATGGAGCGGAGGGGGAGAGCGGGAGGCGTCGTCTGACAAGTCCGACCGAAAGTTTCGGCGAAGAGTGACCCCGAGGCGAAGCACAGTCCTCTCGGGGGGCGCTAGAGTAAGCTGGGTCTCGAGCGCCTTTGTGTTGTAGGAAGCGAACATCTGGAACGGTAATTGTTTATGGGGGGGAGGCGTAGGAGAGGGAGAAAGAGGGAGGGAGGGTAGAAAGAAGGAAGGGAGGGTAGAAAGAAGGAAGGAGGGTAGAAAGAAGGAAAGGAGGGTAGAAAGAAGGGAAGGGAGAGAGGAAATGAGAGTACTAAGAAGAGACTGGTGTAAACTTCGGGGAGGCAACAACAATGTTGAGGCAGGGAGCGAAAGGGAGACGGAAAGGCAAGCAGAAAATTGCGTTCCCAGTCCTCCCTGGAGGGTTTGGACTCCCGGGGAAATAGTGAAGCGCCGGAGGCCATGTGTAATTGTAATTGTTATTAGTATTTTTTTGTTACTGTTATTACAGTTATTATTACAATTGTTATTGTTTCTATGACAATTTTTATTGTTAACTGTTATCCTACTGATATTTATTATTGTTATTATTATCGTTATTATTATTATTTACATTTGTATTACTGTTACTGTTAATATTACTATTACTGCTGTTATTATCGGAAAAATCGACATTTTATTCGCTGCGCCATAAGGAATAAGATATTGTTCATTAGCTTTATGCCTGATTTTGGTTTAAGGGTATATGTAATAATAGAGAAAGATGGAATTGTGGAAGAGAGAGAATAAGAGGAGGAGACAGAAGGAACAGTAGAAGAATGGAGAAGGAATGCGAATAAGAGAGGATGTGTTCGCATGTAGGGAGGGGGAGAGGAGGAAAAGGAGGGAGGCAGATTTTTGACATGTGAGAGAGAGAGAGAGAGAGAGAGAGAGAGAGAGAGAGAGAGAGAGAGAGAGAGAGAGAGAGAGAGAAGAGAGAGAGAGAGAAGAGAGAGAGAATGTCGAATAAAGAGAGAGAGGGAGAGACAGAAATGTCGAATAAAGAGAGAGACAGAGAGAGAAATGTCGAATAAAGAGGAAAGGCATACGCAGATGAGAACTGAATGTGAGCCCGGACATTTAATGGTTATTGGCGCGCGTGTGTGATGGAGAGGGATGCGGGGAAGGGATGAGGACGAAGCGGGGAAGAGACGAATATTCGCTGCTCGCCGGTGCATTTGCTGTATTGGCGGGCATCGGGCGGACGAGGGAGGAGGCGGGGCGTCAAGGGGAGCTTCTGGAGGGGGCGTTGTTCTAGCCCTAAGGAGTGGAAGGAGGGACGGACGACACGCGGAGCCGGATAGGCGGAGAGATGGAAAGACGGAGGGATAGACGGACGGGCGGGCTGATAGACGGATAGACGGACGGGCAGGCTGATAGACGGATAGACGGACGGGCAGGCTGATAGACGGATAGACGGACGGGCAGATAGACGGATAGACGGAGGCTGATAGACGGATAGACGGACGGGCGGGCTGATAGACGGATAGACGGAGATAGACGGATAGGCCGGATAGACGGACGGGCGGGCTGATAGACGGATAGACGGACGGACGGATAGACGGACGGGCGGCTGATAGACGGATAGACGGAGATAGACGGATAGACGGACGGGCGGCTGATAGACGGATAGACGGACGGCGGCTGATAACGGACGGGCGGGCTGATAGACGGATAGACGACGGGCGGCCGATAGACGGATGACGGGCAGATAGACGGATAGACGGACGGGCAGGCCGATAGACGGATTGACGGACAAGCGGAGGGATAGACGGATACACGGACGGACGGACGATTAGGTAGGCCGGATAGGCATCCAGGCACACAGATAGAAGGGCGGAAGTACAAGGAGATAAATTATTGAACAAACAGACACACGGGATATCAATCTAGCTTTGAGTACTAGGAGGAGGCAGGTAGACTGACGCAAGACAAAATAAAGAAAAGAAAAAGCAGATATATTACATGCATGTACAGATGTAAACAGTGTGGCAGATGAATACATAATCGAAGACACGTACTGACAACAAACGTACGCAAAGACGAGCATATATATATAGAGAGAGAGACTGACAGACAGACAGACAGACAGATGGTACGGAGAGGCGCGAAGGCGGACAGACATCCGCACAGACAGAGAGACGGACAGCCGAGCCATCCGTACCCGGGATCCGCTGCGGGATCGTTTCATTAGTCCGCGTCAGGTTGAGTGGCGCCGAATGTGTCATAATTGGTTGATCTTGTTTCAGAGGCGTCTCATCGCGCGCCTCGCCCCCTCCCCTTACCTCCCCACCCCTCCCGTACCCCTCGCCTCCCTCCTCCTCTCCCCTTCTCTTCTCCTTCCTTCCCCTTCCCTCCCGTACCCTCGGCTCCCTCCCTCTTTCCCCTTCTCTTCTCCCTCCTCCTCCCCTTCCCTCCTCCCCTTCCCTCCCGTACCTTCGGCTCCCTCCCCCTTTCCCCTT